TTTGCGTGAGTACACACCCGATCCCAACATTTGAATTATGAGTTTGGAGGTAGAATGGTTTCGAAACATCCGGGTGGTTCACCATAATCGCGATGCGGACTGGCGCTTTAATCTTGTTTAACGCCTGTTCGTATTCTGCCGTCCAGTACCACTTAGTCCCTTTCCTTAACGGATTTATTCATGCGCCGTAAGGATCGCGTAACCTGGAATAAACCTCGACTGGTACACACACATACCTAAAACTCCCTTCAATTGCCTTGTGTTTCGTGGTCGTGATATCTGATCAATAGCCTTAACCTTTTCTGGATCAATTTTCACACCATCCGTGTTGACATGGTATCCTAAAAATGAAATTTCTGAAGTACAAAACTGCGACTTGTTCAAATTTAATTTCATGTAATTATCTGACAAGCATTTCAGTAATTGTTCCAGGTGATCAAGATATTCCTGGAAGTTTTGCGCGTATACCACTATATCGTCAATGTACGGCGTAACGAACTGCCTAATTTTGTCACCTAGCTTCTCGTCGAGACAACGGATAAATGGCGCTCCACTGTTCCTCAGGCCAAAGGGCATTCTTTTCCAGGCGTAAGTCAGGTCGTTATACAAAAATCCCGTGAACTTTCTATCGTCTGGATGAAACGCGATCTGCCAGTAGGAACTTGAGAAATCCAAGGCCGAAAAAATCTGTTTTATTAAATTTCCACAAAATTTCGTCAAGGTTTTGAGGTGCCTCATTTTCTGGGATCGCGACTTCGTTAATTCGCCGTGCATCGAAACAAATTTTTACTTTGCCATCCTTTTTCTTCACCACAATTGGGTTTAAATAGACCGTTACTGATCTTTCAATAATACCCTCATCAATCATGTTCTTAATTGTTTCATCGACTTCCCCCCTCATAGACTGTGGAATAGGGCAATTCTTTTCTTTAAAAGGCGCGTTGTCGGTGACACGAATTCGAAAGCTCAAGTCTTTAATGGGATGCGCTGGACGATCAAAGACATTCCTAAATTTGAATAGCACTCCTTGCAGCTGATGACGCTCGTGGTCGGTTAGTACATTATTTCCTAGTGAGTAATTGTTAATGATCTCACGCACGTCATCTCCCGAATCCCAGGACCCGCATGAATGCCAATGTCTGTTCTGTCCTCGTCATCCTTAATTTTAATTTCCCTGCCCTCACCGAAACTCACTATATTTGTAGAAAAATCCACTATCCCGTTGTTTTCCCTTAAAAAATCTACCCCAAGAATAACGTAACTTAGATCTTCATTAATTAAGCACGGCACATTTAATGAAACTCCCTCGAAGTTGATCGAAATCAAGGCCTGCATGAAAATAGGATTACTTTTCTTTTTCCCAATTCCTACGACGAAACATTTACCCGTCGGCAAAGTTGGTACTGGAATGTGTCCACTTAGCAATTGCGAAAATAATTTCTTGGAAATCGCGCTAACGTCGCTACCGGTATCCACTAAAGCGTGCACATTTAGGTTTCCTAAAAGGAACTCGACAACTGAACATTTTCGCGCTCGTTCTATGATGGGCCCGTTCGCGTCGTCGTTCAGGTCATGAAAGGCATAGTTAATTGACACTACTTTAAGAAATGGTACCTCTGACACTATTCGTTCGGAACCCCGATACCCTGAAGGCCTAAACGGTTCTAGTTTAACGGTCCCGACCTGGCGG